CTCTGGGCACGCTGACTCCACTGTATGCCGGAAGGATGGTGTGCTTCTTGGGTTTCTTCGGGGTGTAGCTGACGGTGGCCGTGCCATCGCCGTTGTCGCGAACCTTAACGGGCACGGGGTCACCAACGTCGTCGCGAACATCCACCGTGGTGGGCGCCGGTGCGCCCGCCTCGCGTGCATCCACGGTGAACTCGGTTGGTACACCAGCGACAACACCCGGCGAGATGCCCGGCCCGTAGCACTTCACCTGTGGAAGGGAGAGGGGACAGACATTTGAGACTGACGGGTCTTGCGCAAAAGACGTAAGACGAATGGGAGATGCACAAAAACAAATAAATAAAGTCAATCTACATTTTGTGATGCTTGGTTTGTTTTTGGTGCCGCGATTGGCCTCAGGGAGAATACGCAATGCGATACAGACTCCGGAAGCATGGGTTATCGTTACAGGTAACAATGTGGTCAGAGATAGAGGTTGGACCAATCCTGATCCCAGCCTCTAACCCTGACTCTAACCCCATCCTAGTGTTACAGAGGGCAATCAATTTTTTCCTTTCGAACTCTGTCAAACAAGCAAGTATTTTTGCTTGCCTCACTAAATTAAGTAGCATGGTGGTTTGCACATTTTCCCGAACTGGCTAACTATAAGATGGCCTTACATTAAAACCAGCTTCTTCTGCACGCAGTGGGACCTAGGACTGCTTTTAGTATATATAGCCTAGCATATTTTAGGGTAGTAGGCAATGCCCTTGATGACCCTATAGAAAACGGCGCGTGCAATATAAATGTTAGGGGCATATCGTACTAAAATTGTGTCAGTAGCATATTAGTTTACGGAAAAACGTTTTACAGTGCTGGACTGCGAAGGGTGCGGCAGGCGGTCATTTCCATGTACATATGAAATTTAAGGTACAATTATATACAATCAGCATAAAGTGCAGTCATTTGCGTAGTTTGCGAGGAAAAATTTCACGAACCGTCAGGGATGCGTTACATAGGGATGCAATCAGTAAGTAAAATTTATGGCTGGCCGCAGATAGTCCTGCAGTGAGAGTCGTCGTTTATCAGTGATCAAACGATCCAGCTGCCTTTTGAATACTGCCATTTTATCAGATTTACGATTTGTCATGATACTCGTTACGGAGAGCTGGAACGGTTCAGTCATGGCCGCAACGACGCGCCATGTAGCAGGCCAAGCCGACCGCGGCATGTTATCTCAGACAGCCATTCAGCGCGGGCTGCAGTATCGGACACGTGGGATACTTTTGCTCACACGTGCGGCCGATCGAATATTCGATATTTTCCCGCAAGGGATTCTCGCGCACAAACCGATCAATGAACAATCGCCACGCAACAAGCCGGAAGTTTCTGGAACGCCTGTCATGATTTGGCACGCGACAGGTCGTAGTATTTCAGGAAGCTCAGGGGACCAAATAAAAAAGGCGAGTTTGGGTAAGAAAAAAGCCCCATGTTCGCAGGCTGCTAATAAAATGACCATTTTCCGAACCGCCTCTCATTCTGTTCCACCTACCTGTCGGGTTATAGCAATGCCTATCGGAATTGGTTGAGCAACTCGCCATTAATTCAGAGCCTTAATGGAGTTCTGGCAACGTTGATTGAACCTTCTACAAAGTTCATTTAACTGAGTTCTCCTCCCACAGCCGACAGGCAGTCTTTTCTATTCATGGCGTTGGGTGTGCGAACACCTCTCAGATGTACTTACCCTGTTTGGATCGCACTTGCCGGTATCCGCGGAGATGGGCACCATGTAGGGAGACTTGGGGATGTTCTCATCATTGCAAAGAATGTGAACAGCGTACTCTCCGGGCACAGTTGGCCAGTATACCACCGTAGCTGAACCGTCACCATTGTCCGCACAGTCGATGCGAGCTTCGCTCGGTCCCTCGATTGAGAAGCCTGCAGTGAAATACCCCGAGGGTGAGGGTTAGGTTTGCGAGAAAGATATTCCATGATAATTTATAAGTACTGAACAATCGAGCTTCCCACCTAAAGCCCCAGTTTCACCGTTCGTTTCAACCACGAAGACGGCAGGCTTATTGACGATGCCTGAGACGAGACCTGGGCCAAAGGCTCGTATCCGTGTGTCTTTGTAGGGCCCCACTTCAACCTGAGAAGAATGAAAGAGAGGAAAGAGAATACAATATCACTTTCAGTATAAAGCCTTGGAAACTCCAGGTGATGAACGCAACACATTTGGCGGTATTTTCAGTGACTCAGTGTGCATTATGGAGGGAAGTCGGTTCAAAGACGAATAATTTTCGATGATTTTATGACTTCGGTAATCAACAGAGGCTTGCTAAACATCGCTACATTGAGCATAGGTGACTAAATACGTGGGAAAGGAAGCTGGAAGGGGTCTTCGATTCCTTCCTTCTCAACCAGGTCGGGGGGGGGGGGAGTTAGTTGATTGTCTTGTACGATCATAGGATCGCGAGTTGATTTGGCAGGCACCAAAAGACTGTTTAAAAACCACCGATAGAACATACCACAACATCAGCAGAGACGGTAGCAATCACATTACTAGACAAAACTGTGGTTTACATTCACTGTGACGGTTAATGGAGAAGTAACTTGGTGGGATAGATTTATCCGATTACAGTGAGACGATATGATTTTATGCCAATGGAAAAGGATGTTCTTTGGCTTGTTTGTTCCAGGCTACCAGGATTTTAAAGGATTCCTGTTTACAATGTTTTATACTAGAATAACCGATAAGTACATTATCTACGCATCAGAGCCTGCAGTTTTGGCCATTATCTACCGTACGGATGGGGCTTTGGTAATTCAAAATTTATTGCTAATTGCGTGGAGACTTTGGTAGAAGCATAGTTTTGTGATTTGAAAGTCGACAACCTTACCTCCCCGGATAAGTACAAAAGACAGCCGTTTTGGCCTACCTTGAATGGACTAAGCATGATATGGTCGCCACCATATCGAACATTGACAAGATGGGGTCCAGATTGTTGGGGTGTATAAACGCATTCGTGTAGGTAGGCTCCAACCTTCCTTTGTTG